TGTCGACAAGTAGACGGCAGATTAACTGATTTTGTCTCAGCATGTTTGTCTCAGCATGTTTGTCTCAGCATGTTTTGTGTTTTGATCAAATTCAGCCTCATGCAGTAACAACGTTTATAGTAATGTATTTAACACAAATGAAAATGTATTTAATAAAGACTGCCCCCCAAAACATATAATAAATTCACATTTAAATTGTTTTAAACTGTCTGTAAATGTGAGGATGGAAATACTAAACTTGTGAACTTGTTTTACGTAGCTGGTGCATTGGTGATGACTCTATGATGCTGGAAAGCACGCTCAGCTCTAAATATGATGTAAAATGTGCATTGGTTATGCATGTTTTCTAATATGATGATGGTCTTTAAAACTGAATCAAATACTATCAATCAATCATTTTTCTTCTGCTTATCCAATTCAAGTCGCTCGGGGTCTGAAGCCGTGTAGTTACATATCAGTCTTATTCAGAATTACCGGTAGGTGTATCTATGTTTTTTGTCATCATAACAAATTATGTTAAAACAATGCCAGTTAACAAGATATTCATATTTTCTATGTTGGTATCCTTTATTTCACTCCAGCATCCCTGCCAACTTAATTCCTGACACTGAAGATGACTGGAAACCAAAGCAACGCAAGTGAAGAGCATTGTCCCACCATTTTTAACAACAACACGTTAATCTTCTGTATGACTCCAGTTTATGTCATCTGCCTGCTTGCAATCATCTTTAATGCGTTTGTGCTGATGGTTTTCTGCCTCCACAAGAAGGCCTGCACTGTGACTGAGATCTACTTGAGCAACTTGACTGGAACTCACCTTGTTCTGATGTGCTGTTTGCCCTTCTGGACTGATGATGTAAGATTAAGCATTGACTGGCCTTTCAGTGAAAGCCTGTGCATGCTGGTACAAGCTGTTGGGAAAATGGATTTATTTTGCAATATCTACTTTCTTGTTCTGGCTATCTTAGATTGTTATGTGGCACTGGTGCACCCACTTTTCCACGAGTTGATGAGCAGGCCATTTTATGCCAAACTGGGATGTCTGTTTGTGTGGAGTTTGGGTTTGGTCTTTGCTTTCCCCGTATTCATCTACAGTAAGGTAAAATTGAACCCACAGTCAAATATTACTGAATGTATAGTCGACTCCACTTCACTAGATCAATATCTGCTGTATGAGGTGAGAGACATATTATTCAGCTTTATCATCCCTGTTGTCATTATTTTGTTCTGTTCTGTCAGAATTATTACAATTCTGAGAAAAAAGCGAATGGGGTTTTTAAAACCACAGAGAACAGAGCAGAAGACCACGACTCTCATCCTGGCAGTTGTACTGTCATGCCTGATCTGCAGGGTGATATTCTGCGTGAGAATATTTGTGGTCGAAAACACTGACATTCAGAAATGTCACATCATGCTGGAAATCATCGATTTGGTCTGTTTCTACTTAGGCTTCTTTGACTGTGTCCTTAACCCCATTCTCTACATCATCATTGGAAAAAGCTTCCGGAACAGGACAAAGGAATTCTTCAAGCAGTGAAAAAAGCCTTAAAGGTAGAATAATTAAACTGGCAATTATTCATCCAAGCATTAGGAGCCTTTGTGTTCATATATATATTCTTACATTGGCAGCATGTGTGATCTTAGAGAGAAGACGCTATAGCAGCTTCCATAACTTAAAAAACTTATTTTGCTAGAAGGGTTTTAAACTAAGTTGTCTGTTTGGGTTTTTGATTTGTTTTTCATTATTATATGATTGTGTTTCTGCCACTGACTCATATCATCCAAATAGGATTATTAGGGTTGTGGCTATCATACTAGGTGACTTACCTGGGAGCAGAGCGTGTAAATCTATGTGTAACCTGCATAAAGCTGACAGCTATCATCTGAGCAACTGACAGGCACCACTGGTTTGGTTTGGTTTTTTGTTTTGTTTTGTTTTTTTGCAGTTGTTTTGCAGTTTCTGGTAATTTTGCAGCTACAGAACTAATCTTCTGGGATTTGCATCAGAAATTCATTTTTTGCATTTGCAATTATTTTCATGTGCAGTGGTGCTCCTGTTTACGAGTGTATATATGTGTGGTGTGCTGTGTGAGCTTCTGGGCTGATAACAGATGGTCTTTCAATGATATCCTATGCAAAGTGTCATCAGCTGTTATCAACACGAATACATTCTGCAGAATATACTTCCTTGTTCAGGTTAGCATAGATCATTGTGTTGCACTAGGGCTGCTCGATTATGGCAAAAATGATAATCACGATTATTTTCACTGAAATTGAGATCTCGATTATTTGACGATATTTATTTAACAATAACAATGTATTGAATAATGACTTTAAAGATTGTCAAAAAATAATATAAAATAGTGTGCAAATACTGATAACAGTGCAAATGTTTGCAATATAAGAAATAAATGAAAAATGTAAACATCTATGTTTAGTGAACTTTGCAGTGTTGCTCTGTGGTGCAGCTACGACACTGTAGCAAAGTTTACACACTATGTCTACGACTCCGCCAACCCATAATGTTTCCACACCACTGAAGTTTTTTTACCTCTCCGTTCAACCAATGGCAGTCACTCTTCTCTCCAAATCACTTCTGCTTAGCTTTCCGAGCTTCCCTCGGGTTCTCTTCTTAATTGTTGTGACAGGTATTCGAAATGCAGAGCGGTGCACTCGACTTGCCACATGGAGCAGCGCGAGAGTAACGCACGAGGGAGGGGCTAATAATCGGTTCAGTCATTTTTAATGGTCGTTGAAAGCCCAGATCGTAATCGAGATTAAAATTCGATTAATTGAGCAGCCCTATGTTGCACTGGTGCTTTCCTATGAGAGGAAGAGTAGGGCATTTACACCAAACTGGGATGTCTGTTAGGGTGGGGTCTTTGCTCTTCACACAGTCATCTACAGGACGTTCAAAATTCACCCTCAGTCAAATGTTACTAAATGCACATTTAACCTCATAAAAGATCCATATCTAATGATGGAGAGGATGCTGATTATTTTTAGTTTTATCATCCCTGTTATCATCATTTCCTTCTGCACAGCACTAGTCAAGTTGGGAGAAACAGTCTAGCAGAGGGTTTCAAACTCAGAGAATTAAGCAGCTGTCTGACAGTCTCGGTCGTTGTGTCCTTGGGCAAGACACTTCACCCGTTGCCTACTGGTGGTGGTCAGAGGGCCCGGTGGCGCCAGTGTCCGGCAGCCTCGCCTCTGTCAGTGCGCCCCAGGGTGGCTGTGGCTACAATGTAGCTTGCCATCACCAGTGTGTGAATGTGTGCGTGAATGGGTGGATGACTGGATATGTAAAGCGCTTTGGGGTCCTTAGGGACTAGTAAAGCGCTATATAAATACAGGCCATTTACCATTTACCATAACTACACTATCAAATCACAGAGCTTGGATTTTGCCACTGCTTTCTAAAAATTATTATTTTGATTCAGCCTCTTTGGGAACTAATTGAAATATGAGCATTTTGAGTATTTTGTACTGAATATCAGTGTTACTTAAATGGACATGCATCTCTGCATCTCCAGAGTAACAACATAGTAACGACAATATGCCAGAAAAGAGACACTTAAAATGATATCTTTTCTTGTTTTTTGTTTAGAATCCCGTCCAAATTTGGCTCTGTGACAATATCTGGAAACGAAAACAACACAAATGACGAAGTCATTGCACTCCTGATATAATTAGCTTTGTGTAAGCCGTGAGACCAGTTTTCCCGTGCTTCACACGCGTACATCAGTTTGAAGAGGAAAAAGAACTCCATGGGACTCCGATGTGAAAAGATGTAACAAAAAATGTATTCCACAGTTTGCATCTTACAGGAGTGGTCAGGTTTAACTTATCCTCAACAAAATAACCTACTACGGTAGGAAAACCGTGTGGCTCTGTTCTACCCTGCTGCCGTGTATAGCTTATGCCGTGTTAACTCTTTTTCTCTCTCCCCCCTCCCGCACCGCATGCGCTAACCTGCATACATCCGTGATGCCCGGATTTTACTATAAACACGAGTCTTTTAAGGCACATGTATTCATGGTACTACGTAACCAAACCAACAGAGCAATAAAATAATTTTAGTTCCACCATAAACATGCATTTACTTCCAAAATTATTAATTACACAAACAAGCTTAACAACAGCGAAATATAAATACTAAAACATATGAACTATCTTAACTTGGCTCCCACAAGCTTGTTGACGGTGATGTTGGCGGTTTCCAGTGTACATGCTGGTCATCAGTGTGCTTGGAATCATCTTTAAGGGTTTTTTGTTGGGGTTTTTGCATTTTTGCTAATGGTATTCTGTGTAAGAAATGGCTATGACTGGCCTTTCAGTGAAATCCTACGCATATAGTCATCAGCTGTTATCTGCATGAATGCGTTCTGCAGCATCTAAGTCCTCATTTTCCTTAGCATAGATCCTTAGGTGGCACTGGTGCACAGACTTCGCCAGGAGCGGAAGAGTAGCCTACTGGGGTCTTGACTTGATCATTGCTCATTGAAGTTACAATTTCTCAGTTAGAGAGAACATTAAAAATAAAAGAGAAATGTACCATATTATTCAAGCTCTTAAAAAAGCAGGCCAGTTTAACTGTTTAAAAATTGAGAAGTCCACCACCAACCTGGCATTTCTCCTGGTGTTCCTAATCCACTGCCATTTCACATGAGCAGGATACTAGATTTACTCCAAGACATTCACATTCTCGAGTGTCACATTGTGCAGGTCATCTTCTAACTCATCCTTCTTCTACTGTGTCCTTAACTCCGTTCTCTATGTTAGTGTGGGAAAACCCTTCCAGAAAAGAGCTGAGGTACTCATCCACCAATGAAATAAATAAAACATCCAACTTTATGTCCTCACACGCACACACTGAATTGCAGTATTGAGATATTTTAAGTTAGGACGTGTGCTGTGATGATTTTAAACGATGAATGGGGGATTAAGTATGAGCAAAAAGTACCTAAGATTTGGAAACATGCTGTCATTGTTCCAGTTGCTAAGGGCAGTTCACCTAAGGTACTGAATGATTTTAGGCCTGTGGCTCTGACTTGAGAAGATGATTAAGAAGGAGATTTTAATGCATGTTGAACACCATCTTGACCCCTTTCAGTTCGCCTATAGAGCAGGGAGAGATGTGGAGGATGCTGTTCTCACACTCCTGCATTTCTTGAATAATCATTTCAAGGCCCCTCACACCCATGCAAGATTATTATTTGCTGACTTTACATCGGCATTCAACACAATTGAACCCTTTTTACTTGCTCACAGACTTTACAGTCATTTTAGGCTTTGCGCTAGTCTGATTGGCTGGCTGACAGACTTTCTGACCAATTGGTCACAATGAGAGTGAATCATGTATTTTCTGACGTGCTCTCCTCCTCTACTGGATCTCCCCAGGGTTGCTGCCTCTCACCCCTTCTGTTCATTCTGAACACAAATGAGTGTTGCAGTAATTTCTCGAACAGACACATCCTGAAGTTTGCTGATGACAAAGTGATCGTCAGTCTTCTTGTGGGGGACGAGTCAGGCCATGGGAAGTTTGTAGATGATTTTGTGGATTGGTGTGATGAGTCCTTCCTTTCACTAAAGACATGATTACTAATTTTAGGAAGTCCTTTTTTAGCTCTTCACCTACTATCATTAAGGCTGCTGATATTGGGATTGTGGACAGTTATAAATATTTAGGTGTGATACTTGACCATAAATTGTGTTTTGAATCTCATGCTGATGCCACTACTAAAAAAGTTCAACAAAGACTGTTCTTTTTGAGGAAAATTATATCCTTTAATGTCTCATCTGAGATGTTCTCTTTGTTTTATAAGTTTAATTGAATCTGTGATGTCTTTTTGTATCGCTGTAACCTGAAAGTGAAGAATAAGAATCGGTTGGGACTTCTGGTAAGAACTGCTCGTAAAATTTCAGGGTGCTGGCAAGATGGACTTTTGGCCATTTACAACAAAAATGTGCTTAGGAAGGCTCTTTCTATTGTTAATTGCTTGAACCATCCACTTCACAGTGAGTTTGAGTTGTTGCCTTCTGGCCACTGCTTTAGAGTACCTTTGAGGAAGACCAAAGACTCCAGGTTTCTTTTATCCCTACTGCATCCCATCTTCTTAATGGCAAATAACCGTCCTGTGACTTTCTATTACTATTACTGTCATTATTATTTTATATTCTTGTTTTGTTTACGTTGATGTTGCATGCTGCTAAACTAATTTCCCCTTGTGGTATAATAAAGAATTTGAATTGAATTGAATTGAAAGCATTTGATAAAATATCATTTAAAAATACCTCAGTGATCCTGTTACACGGGTTCTAATGAAACACTGTCAGGGTGCACGCCATCAAAGGCTTCATGAGTTACTAAACCACTCAGTATATCTGCAAGGCCATCAGTGTCTTATATGACATCTCTAACTTTTTTTTAATAGCATCAAAGAAACACTAATAGAAAATCAGCGTAATGTAAATATATTACATATCATAAGCCTAATTTAATCTCATGCAGGCCAAATAACAAAGGTGCTGTTAATTGTACAGCTTCATAAATACCAATAATTTTGGACTTAATCAAATTTACATAGTTGTTCATAGTCAATGTACTTACAATATTTAAAAGTATTTTCTCTTTCATGTTGAAACTATAGGAAAGCTGATGAAATGCCTACAACCAGGTTTTGCTTTGTTGGCTTTTTTTTTTAAGCAAAAAAAATATATATCATCACCTGAAATAAAGGTAGATTTAAGTTACTGCATTTGGATTTGTTTCTCTGCAAATATGACAGTATGTAAAGAAATGAAAGTTTAAATATGTAGAAATTTCAAACAAGAAGCAAGGGATGGTGCAGAGTTATCTTATGTATAAGGCCCGAGTTCTGCACCACTATAAATAAAGACAGAGTCAGACAGAGTGTGAGAGAGTTCAACACACACCCCCATCTCTGATCCCACAGTGTCTTTGAAATACTACAAAAATAAATAGTGCAAACTGCTACACTGTTGAGGCTCAAAAGTGCCAAAATTAAATGAATATTATTAAATGAATAAATAGATCATTATGTCATGTGCCATTAATTATTTAAAATAGTAAATGATGCATCATTAATTACACGTCTTTAAATGTGTGATTGATTAATTAATTTAGTTTATGTAAAAACACATTTAATTAGTTTCATTTGAGGTGGTTAGCAGGATCTGTTGTTTGTGCATTCAGTCACTGCTTACTAAGCAGAAAAACTGCAAAAAGCTGTTAATGAATGCAGATGAAAGTGATAATGACCAAACCATTGTCACATGAGGGACGCCAAATGAGCAGCATAAAGTGGTCGTTAAACTGAGTCAGGAGCCAAAGTGATATATAAAGTAGTAGACATCAAAAACACCAGGAAAATTAGAAGTAAGACATAATTATCTGTATGGACAAGGTCAGTCATCAGATCAGGCAAAATTACAGGCCAAAAGTTGACAAGCACATTGACTGAGGACAATAAGATTGTCCTTGGACTTATTTCTGGTGTGCCGACAGCTATTAGAGCTGAGCAGACCAAAGAAAATATAGCAGTCTCTATGGTAACCAAGGCACAGCGCTTAAAGACAAGAGGAAATAGAGATTAATGTGACAGTTTAGCTGTAATGCTAAAGTGTGTGTGTGGGGGGGCAAAAGCAATGTTTTCAAAGGGTATATGAGCTATGCACTTAGACATTATACATCCCCAGAGGTTTTAAGGGCCAAAATTATATTAATGGCACATTGCTGCTGTGTGTAAAGGAAAACAAAGTTCAAGTGCTAGTACTGTGGAGGACAGCGCATCTCAGATTACTGTGGCTGTGAGGCATGTACTGCAGCAGTGGTGGAAAAAAAGAATCAGTGAAAAGAGCGTCCATGCAGTCACACTTAATGAGATCAACATTTAACTATACAGCTTATATGTCAGCATCACATTGAAAACTGTTTAAAGCTACTGGAAACTTCTCCACTGGCAGCTGTATTGGATATTGGATAAATGCTACTTAAAATTGGGAGTTAAGTTTCCGCTTACATATTGGTTCAAAGTCGAGGGGCATAACGAGAAGAAAAGGCAATCTTGCTGTAGTGCTGGGAGTGTCGTAAAATTTACTTTATGAGTTTTGGATGGGTTTCAAAAGTAACAGGAAAGTCCAATCATTCTTCTGTTAAGTCCATAGCAACTGAGATGGTTTAAAGAACCTGAACTGGTTCTGGTTGCACAGTGTCATTCCTCAGCTCCAAATAACTGTTAATAAACAAATGAAAAAAATTTGAATACACATGGTGTAGCTATAATATAACATTTATGGGGGGGTAAAGTTATTATCGGAAAGTTTATCAGCACTTCAAGGTTCAAGGTTACTTTCTTTTCATTTAGATTTTTCCTTATGTACATGACAATGTAGCAGCACAGTAGGGCAGAATAGTGCTGGTGGAATTAATGAGGTATGAAGTTCACCAGTCTTACAGTCTTCTTGAGTAGAAGCTGCAATTGAACCTTGTTGTTTTGGTCTTGATAATCCACCCCGTGCCAAAACCCACATGGTAAGACAATTTATCGGTTTCTTCAATGGAAATGATTGTGGTACGAGTATATACATATACATAGACACACACACACACACACACACACACACACACACATATATATATATATGTGTGTGTGTGTGTGTGTGTGTGCGTGTGTGTATATATATACACACACACACACACACACACACATATATATATA